CAAGAAAAAGCTAAAGGAGTGCGTCACCACCAAACCAGTATTATATGAAATGTGGTATTCTTTAAGAAGAGGAAGAAGAAGGAAAAAAACAAGATAAAAAATATGAACAATAAAATGGCAATAAATACTTATCTATCAACAATTGAATCTAAAAATCAAAATAGATGAACAAGGAATCTAATGAACAAAACAAACTGATGAATAAAATAGAACCAGAGGCATGGAAATATGAAACAGACTGATGAATCTCACAGGGAAGGGAAGGGGGGGGGTGGGGAGGGATGAGAAGAAATTAACCAAAGATCTTATATAAATGCCAGAGGCCCAGTGCACGAAATTTGTGCAAGAGTTGGCCTTCCTTCCCCCAGCTGCCGGCACCAGCTTCCCTCTGGGACCTGGGACCCGGGCTTCCCTCTCTCTGGTCACTGGCAGGCACCCGGGACCTGGGTTTCCCTGTGGCTGCCAGCAGGCACCTGGGACCCGGGTTTCCCTTGCAGCCCCAGCTTCGTCCAGAAGGATGGAAGGACGTCCAGAAGGATGTTAATCTAATTAGCATATTATGCTTTTATTATTATAGATATGTATTACTTATGAACACAGAAAATAGGGTGGTGAAGGCCTGGAGTGGAGTAGGAACCTGGTGGAGAAGGGCAATGGGGGAAGAAAACGGGAACATCTGTAATACTCTCAACAATAAAGATTTTTTTTAAAAAGTATAAAATTACCTTGAATTTTCTTTGGTAACTTAAAAATATCTACAACTAAAAAGGTTCAATTTTACAATAAACACAAATTATTAATAACAGTGAACTTTCATCTAATAAGAATAATAAATGATTAATACCTGAGGGAACTGTTGTTGGGGTTTTTTAGGTCCTGATGAAGTTTTATCACCCATTCCTGATACTCTTGTTTTTGGATGGCAGTCGATTGTTTTAATTCATTTGACCATTTATTTTCTAAGTCCTAAACACAGACAATATACCAACTAGTTAATTTTTTTACGAAAATAAGTAAGAAAAAAAAAACTGCATATCTAAAATCCATTGTACTTTACTTACTTGTTGGGATTCAAAATGCTGAGCAGCCAGTGAATTTACATCTTGATCTGTCAGTGATTTTCCCAACTCCTGCATCACTTTTTCCATTTCAATACCTTGTCTAAAACATAAATAAGAAGATCACATATATCATTAGAATTTTAAGGTAATATGACCACTCCAGATTCATTGAACAATCTCTAGAAAGTAAAAATAAAATTTTTATTTTATTGGAATATGTCCAAGAATGGCAACTATAATACCTGGAAAACATTATAAAGGCTTTTAAGTGGAGATGTGGAAATAATAATGATAATTTCATATAATATTAACAACATCCTTTGTACAGCTAAATTTTTATTTATTAATTGATTGATTTTAGAAAGAGGGAGGGAGGGAGAGAAATATAGATTTGTTGTTCCACTTATTTATGCATTTATTAGTTGCTTCTTGTATGTGCCCTGACCGGAGATTGAACCCACAACTTTTGTGTATTGGGATGATGCTATACCCAACTGAGCTACCCAACAACGGCCCTGTGAAGCTAAATTTTAATCTAAATTTAATGCAAAATGAAAGCCGTCAAAATCTAGGTCATCTTTCAATTTCCATGGCTAATGTTTAAAAGTCCAAACCCCATTTCATCTGAAGATTTCCTCAAAGATATTCTGCAATTCCAACTTAAACACATTTTCTATTTATTTGTACATGAGTTAAAGTAATTCCAATCTTTGAAAGTTAGTTTATAAATAGAACCTGCCAATTAGACTCTAAAAATCAAACTGCTATTAAGTCACAAGTTGCCTTTACAGAGAAATATAAAACACTACTAAAAATATGCTTTAGTCTTACCTTATTCATCTATCCAAATAAATAATGTGCAGACACTAAAAATGGTTTTCCCGACAGAAAAAACTAATCAATGGTATTATAAGTTCATATAATGGTTATTTATGGGGGATATTGGTAGTGACTAGATGGACACCAGGAAGCCTTTGGCAGTGCTGGAAATACTCTATTTCTTGAGCTGGGTGATGATTACAGGGTGTACTTACTTTTAAAAGTTTAGTGAGTTTACACCTACAGTTTGTTGCCTTTCTGTAATGTTATATTTTAATAAGTTCATTCAAATTTTCAAATTAAAAAAAGATCTTTTAATGCAAATGTGTTAAAAAGTTTGTTCTAAAACATATTTTAAACAAACTTAGAAAGAATGAAACAGACATCAACTAAAAGAATTTTACATCATTCTAGTTAATTTAAAAAAATGCTCTTAGAAGCAAGTTCATACTTCTTTATAACAACTGATTAAGATACTTATGTATATGATAAATGAAATTTATCCATACATCAGACAGTCACATATTTCTATACATATCTTCTAATATTAAATATTCAACACCACTTAGTCCCCACTTAATTCTAATGTAGGTGACCCCCTTAACTTTTTAATAACTACTAGAGGTCAGGGGAAGATTATGCTAGCAAGTAAGATTTTTATTTAAAACAGAAATAACTGCTAAATATTTATAAAGACAAACTTCCATATGAATGTATAATATTTTACATTACACATGTTCCCTCTAGTGGATAAAATATATCACTGCCATTTTTACATTTAAAAAAATGTCTTGAATCTGGTATGCCAAAAGAAGCAAATTTCCAGCGAGGAAAAAGAAAGACTAATAAATAAGAACTCAACAAATAAAATGTCACGAATATTTTTTTACCTTAAATGTATCAGAAACATAAGTAGCTAATGATATATAAGATGGGGCAAAAGTAGATTTACAGTTGTTTCTATAAAAAATACCATAATTAACAAATAATACAATAAACTCTGTTTCATGTACTCACAACTATAAACCTACTTTTGCCCCACCCTGTATTAATAACACAGTATATTATTTTTTATGATTAAGATCAAAGGGAATATTATATTTCAGACATATGTATGTAAGGCATGACAATTCTGACAACTGTATATAATCGTGAACACACTCTGGAAAAAAAGATCATAATAACTGCACTGATGCTGTGCTTAGAAACTGTCTTTTTAAATATATATATTTTATTGATTTTTTTACAGAGAGGAAGGGAGAGGGATAGAGAGTTAGAAACATCGATGAGAGAGAAACATCGATCAGCTGCCTCCTGCACATTCCCCACTGGGGAGGTGCCCACAACCAAGGTACACGCCCTTGACCGGAATCGAACCTGGGACCCTTCAGTCCGCAGGCTGATGTTCTATCCACTAAGCTAAAACGATTAGGGCAGAAACTTTCAAAGATGTAAAATAGAATTAAAATAAAAGGAGATATAGGAAAATGTGTCACTTCTGCTCACACATTGGATAAATGAATTAAGCAAAATTTTGGGTGAAATTCCACAAATACTAGTGAATTCCAACTTACCTTAAGTATACTGTTCACTTTTGCGATAAATATTATGGACTTTAAGAGCAACATAGCTCATATTTCCTTTTTAAGCTAACAGTTTGGATATGTGAAAGATAAACTATGAAACTGTTTTAAAAAGAAATGTATTGCCCAGTTGACATGGCTCCATGGTTGAGTGTCGACCTATGAACCAGGAGGTCATGGTTCGATTCCCTATCAAGGCACATGCCCAGGTTGCGAGCTCAATCCCTAGTTGGGGATGTGCAGGATGCAGCTAATCAATGATTCTTCTCATCACTGATGTTTCTATATCTTTCTCCCTTCTCCCTTCCTCTCTGAAATCAATAAAGATATATTAAAAAAAGAAATGTATTCAAATATTGATTATATTTTAGAAAGAAAAAGAGCAAAGTCCTATCAAGAATTTTGGCCAAAGGACATTTCAGAAATATAACGTAACAGCCTGGGCAGTGTGTCTAGTGGTTAGCACCAACCTATGGAGCAGGAGGTCACGGTTTGGTTCCTGGTCAGGGCACATGCCCTGGTTGTGGGCTGAATCCCCAGTGGGGGCATGCAGGAGGTGGCCGATCAGTGTTTCTCTCTCATCAATGCTTCTATCTCTCTATCCCTCTCTTTTCCTCTCCATAAAATCAATAAAAATATTTTTTAAAATAATAGCATAATAAAACTTTACTAAAAACTATTCCAGGATAGAGGGGAAAAAAGTCTAAAGTTCCAATAAATGCAGAAAATTAGTGTTAATTCAGCTTCCCAAAAGGTAAAAGTCTCAAAATACCGATGGCCACTACTGAAGTTATCTGGGACATGTAGTGACTAGGCAGCAAAATGGGCCACAATTTAGAGTAGCTCCGCAGATGAATAAAAGGACAGTAAAAGCTATTGATATAAACTATAGATGGCCAAGTGGGGAATTTTTTCATATACCTTAATAGGCAGAATGACTATAGTCCCAGAAAAACTGAGATCCAAGAACAAATTTAGAGTGAGTTATATTAGTTGAAGCCCTGGTAGGAAAATTCGTACATGGGTGGGTGCATAAAATTCGTACATGGGTAGGTGCATAGAATTCGTACACGGGTAGGGTCCCTAGGCCTGGCAGGCAATCAGGGCCGATTGGGGCCTTCCTTCCCCCAGCTGCCAGCTAGGGCCTTCCTTTGTTCTGCACCGCCCCCTGGTGGTCAGCACACATCATAGTGAGCGGTTGAACTCCCTAGGGGGCAATTAGCATATTAGCCTTTTATTACATAGGCTATTTAAAACTCTAATTTTATTTTGTTCTTATCTTGAAAATATATTCACAATTTTATTGGCTACATAATAAAGAACTAGAAAAAGAATGTTTCTCTCCCCCAGGGACACAGCTTCAACTCTTTACCCAGTGGCAACTACTCATACTACAGGTATCCCATCTATAAAAAAATAAACTGCTTCAAAACAGCTAATCAGCAAACCCAAACACATAAAGAGTGACAAATGTCTCAAAACATCATATTCTTTTTGAACCAGAAACAGTTCTAATATCTTATTGGATATAAGAATAAAAAGTTCAAAGGAGTTGAATTATTATGAAAAGTTACAAATCTATGCAAAATAGGAATACTGATCTGGTACACAAGACAGTAGCCACAGGAAAAATGATTAAATCTATTTGCTATAATTTCTGTGTTTTAAGTTTTTTTTAAAACTATGACAACCCTCAAAGTAACACATTATTCTCATCTTGCTAGTCCCAAAGTTTCTAATGAGAAGCTAATGAAGACCAGAAGCAAACCAGTACATCATTTTAAATTTATTTCTTTGGGACTGATTTCATAATATGCAATTTTTCCTAATAAACTTTCGCAATTAAAGAAATTTTACATCAGCAACACTAAAAATTATCTTAATGCCACATATACCTAAAGTCTTATAAATAAATGTTTTTAACTTAATGTAATTAGAGTCAGCTAGATCAAAATGGGTTATTTGGAAGAAACATGTCCTGAATTACTAATTATAGAATTACTAGGAAGCAGTCTAGAAAGTTATGCTTTAAAATAATGCTAGCAATTTTTTACTTACTCTGAAGAAAAAGTGGATCATAAAAACACTGCATACTCTATTAAGTAATTCATACAAAATGAATTCAAATTTAATCAACACTTCTTGGAATATTGTTAGTGTTTTTGCTTCCCCCCGCCCCCCCGAATGTAAACAAGCTTACAAAATGAACTGAAACTATGGACTTAGTCACAGCAAGGTTTTAAATGGGTCCTGAATAGGGAGGCAGTATGGTATAGTGCAGTGATGGCGAACCTTTTGAGCTCGGCCTGTCAGCATTTTGAAAAACCCTAACTTAACTCTGGTGCCATGTCACATATAGAAATTTTTTGATATTTGCAACCACAGTAAAACAAAGATTTATATTTTTGATATTTATTTTATATATTTAAATGCCATTTAACAAAGAAAAATCAACCAAAAAAATGAGTTCGCGTGTCACCTCTGACATGCGTGTCATAGGTTCGCCATCAGAGTGATTAATAGCTTTAGAGTCAGACTTCCTGGTTTCAAATTCTAGCTTTTCCTTAGACAAGTTACTGAAGCCTCAGTTTCCTCATCTGCATAATGGGTATAACAGTAGGGTTGTGGTAAGGATGAGATAGGGCACCTGTTATGAACTGAATGTCTGTGTCCCCTCCAAGTTCATATGTTGAAACCCTAACCCCACCCCCCACCCCCCAATTTGATGGTATTGAAGGTAGGGCTTTTGAGGAGGTAATTAGGCTTAAAAAAGGCCACGAAGTTGAAGTCCACATAATGGAATTAAAGGAAGAGATGCTAGAGCTCTCACTCTAGAAAAGACACAGTAAGAGCACACAGTAAGGAAAGGCCATGTGAGCACACATCAATAAGGTACTATCTATAAGCCAGGAGTAAGAAACAAATTTCTGTTGTTTACACTACCCAATGTATGGTATTTTGCTATAGCAGCCTGAACTAAGACAGCATCCAAAGCATTTTGTACAGAAATAAGCTGTTCTTCTTATGAGAAATAGAATATATAAAGTCACCATTATTTATTTCAATAAATCACTTGAGAAGTTTTATAAACTTATGAGGATTTCCCAGTTGAAATTACACATTTAAACACACAAGAAAATTAATTTTTAATATTAAAGAATTTTTTCTATTTATTCTTCAATTTTATAACAAAATAAAAACAAGTTCTGCAGGACACATTTGACGATGTAACATTTAATTATGATAGTGCAAGAAATTTTAAATACCTCTCTCGTAATTTCTTCAGCTCCACATCTCTTTCACCAATCAGTTCTGAGATACTAACAAAGTAATTATGTTCCAAATTTAGGAGCGTTTCAGAGGCAGGAGAATGAATTAGGTCATGGTACACATCTGCAAAATCTTCATCCCAGCTGGGCTCTTCAGGCCTTGCATGCTCTAATGTGGTCTACAAATGATACACAGACATTCTTAAATCACGATGTAGGGTTTTTATTTAACACACTACCAGAAAAGCATGTATATAATGATTCTATTTTTGTACATCAATCAAGGACGGAAAGACTTTGTCTTTTTATATATGTGTATATATTGGTTATCTATGATTATCTTAGTACACATGCAAAAATTAAAAGATGTCAACTAAGTTGTTAACATGAGTTACCTGGAGGCAGGGATGGGGAGGGGCTAATGTGGAGGAAGAGATGAGAAGTGTCCACAATAAAAACAAAACATTATGCTATAACCCAATTTCTGTAAAATAGCAAGGATGTGATCAACAAAATGCTAGTGATGGCTATTTTAGGACAGTGGGATTGGTGATGACCTTTGCTTTTATATAACTAGAGACCCGGTGCACAAAAATTGTGAATGGGAGGGAGGGGTGTCCCTGAGCCTGGCCTACACCCTCTCCAATCTGGGACATCCCTCTCACAATCCGGGACTGCTGGCTCCTAACTGCTCACCTGCCTGCCTGCCTGATTGTTCCTAACCGCTTCTTCTTGCCAGCCTGATCGCA